AGTAAAACAAAAAGAGGTCATTCGAGCATATTACATTTTAAAAGGCTCTGGTTACCTTAACATGGACTATTAACTCCTTACAACTTTTTTCCTAATAAAACTATAGCAACCTCCAACAGTAGAAAAGCAATGGACTGCTTTAAGCTGAATTTATGAAAGAATCCAATAGGAAGATGAAAAATTTCCTCCTATGAACTGCAAATGCCCTTTTTCTTTTCCCAGGGAGTCATCTGTTTAAAGCCAGAAAGCAACCTTTGCTAAATAAACAGTTGTTTCATTTACTACCACGTATCCACTTGGCTAATGGAGTTAATGCTGCCCTACTGAATCTTCGGACATATTTTTTATTTTAGAAATTGTATCGTATTTCCTAATAAAAGTCAAGAACAATATTAACAAAACAGTAATCTATATTGGCTTTTAGTGACTTACAAGATGTACTGATTTGATGCAGAGAGATGCCACATGATAGAGAAAGATCCCATTAAAATACTTTTAATTTGAGGTATTCTTTAAGCCACTACTTGGCATTTGCACCTCAACTCATTCACAGCTGTATTTTCAATTGGAGGAACAGAGCATTAATAAGAAGACAGATGATGATACTGAACATGCTGGCAAAGTCACGTAAGGACTATGCAACGAATACATGACAGTCATTGGCAAAGATTCAAGCAGCTCCCACAGTCTACAGCTCAAAGAAATAAAGAATGAAGTAGAACTTCATTAATCAAAAATGGAAAGGGAAAAGCATTTTTGCAGAATAAAGCCACTAAAAACCAGAAAAAAAAAAAAAAATCTTTCCCATTTATTTTCTACTTTACAGGAATGTAGAAAAATGCAGCATAATAAGTTCACTTCTCCTTTCCCATCGCTACCAAGTAGCGTTAAGACAGTCAGAAATGCAATTTTGGGGAAAAAACTAACACAAAAAACTCAACACACTAGAACCACATCAGCTCCAAACGTAAATTAAAATTGTTTTCCTCAAACCAAGAACAGCTACCAGAGCCTCACAAATTCTATTAATTAACATAATATCTCAATTAATTACCACTAACCTAGAAATCTGGGAAAGATCAGAGTTTGTAATTGTAGCCACCTATACTACCAGATTCTCACTGAGAAAGCCAAAGAACAGCAAGAGACCTTCTGCAAGTCACCAATGTTTTTCTCTCATACTAGGAGTCTGTCACTATTCTACTAATTTGATACTTGACGATTTCAGTTGTATTCCTATTCCTGGCCTCCATCCATACCACTCTCCATCCAAAACATACGAAAGTAGTCACCAAATTCACTCTGGAGTTGTATCTAGGAGGACAGACACAGGGTTCTTCTCATCCTGCACAAAATGGTTATCTGAGCATCTTCAGCTGCTGAAGGAAACAGAGAGAGTTTCCTTCATAGTTCTCACAGCTTCTCCCAAGATGGTTAAGGACTTCAGCATAAGGAATTACTAACAGCAAACTCCTAAATAAGCACGGATTTAAACTTGCAGATGATTACTCCACTATCATTGTGAACTAAGCATCTGAAAGCATGGTCTTGCATGTGGGCTTTCTCAAGCACATGAGTTGCAGCAGATATGCTACTCTAAACCAAATTTTAAAAGCTCCATTTTCTTTGCGCAAGTCAGCCAAACTTTTGATAAGGTTAAGAATTAAATTGAAAAGAAAAAAGCAACAACAACAACAAAGTTAAAATATTCAAACAATTTGAGCAAGACCTAGATAACACTTGCGTTGCTTGAGATGTTAGAACTACTGCATTTTAAGCCTGCACTGAGAACAACTGCCATACAACCAGCGGCCAGTATTGCAATCAAACACGTCTAACAACAATGTAAGCCTACAGCCATAAGGTATTTAGAACCTCAATATTTCCAGCTAGCACATTAGCAGATAGGAAAGTTGCACTCCTATCCTAATGAGGCTTAGAGAAGAAAAATTTAACTTGCTTGCTCTCAGATACAGGAGGTAGAAAAAGTCTTGAACAAAAATAGCAGGGGTATAAATCCGACTTTCAAGGTCAAATGTTTGATTTGCTAGCAACGAAGTAAAACAAAGCAACTAGAGAGGGAAGAAAAAAAAAAAGTAGTACTAGCTGTCTATGGCAAGCAAAAAAAATCTAGGTCTTCTCAAACACCCTGTGTCCTGCTTAGTGTTTCCCAAGTTCAAAGCATGACACTCTCCTTTCTGAAACGGTTTCAGCTGAAACACTGGCCTAGACATCACATCAAACGTTTATCTTTGCTACTCAAACTTTAGCTTTCAAGGGAAGGGGCAGTCATGAAGAGAATCACAAAAACATCTGGACTTGTGAAGGCTAGACCACAGTGTGAACCTCAGACAGTTCAGTCTCACTCCAAGCATATTTGATTCTCATGTCCTCTAGGCTAATAATCTTCTATGAAGCAGTACTTAAAGGCTCCATAGCCAGATGATCTTCTGAACACTCAGTTCAGTAAGTTTATCTGGAATAACCTAGAGATTGTAATTATCTGAGATGCATAAGGACAGATTTCCAGCCTCAATGAAAACTGAGATTTGCATGTGGGACAAAGAGTTAAGGGGAAAACCAAGTTAAGGACAAACAGTCAATTCAAATAAAATACAGAAGCTGCAACAAGACGTTGCCCTTCACTTGGCATGATTAACAATTACAAAAGAGCAATTCCAAGAAGCTGTTTAATATGCAAATATAAGTCAATGAGTACGAGTTTTAAGCAGCATGAAATCTTAACAGGGAGACTATTATTCACAGCTGTTTAATTCTGACTAATAAAGAAAAAGGTATATATATTTTTATGTTTCACAGTATGTAACTTTAGTCCCTTCTTACCCCAACCTGAAACATCACCTACTAGGAATGGCTGGGCCTGGAGCTGCCATTGTTTCTTTGGGTTCTTTCTGGGCTCTGTCTTTTCCTGGGTCTGCAGCAAGGTGAGATGGGATGGACAGCGGAAGCACAATAGCCACAGTTTTTCTCTCTCTCCTTCCTGTTCAACAAGGAAAGCTATCCCTCAGTTGGGCAGACATCGCACATCTTGACATCTTATTACACATATCGGTTCAGAGCAGGTTAAAGGTTGCGGCACAGTGAATGCAAAGGACTAAATATGAAAGCAATAAACATACAGCTCTCTTGGACATTTCTGAGCCTCCCTTCTCAAATATATGAGTTTTCTTCATATTTTTTCAATGAAGAAATTCAATCTTGTTGCAGTGGAAGGGTTTACAAAAGATCAAATTTTACTGTCTTACTCCTAACCAATCCGAGCCTGAGTTGCAATGTATAAGCAGAACAAAGACCAGTGGTTTTAAAACAGACCCAGACAGTCCGTTGGCTTATATTACTGTGTTTCCCACCCTCCATATCAACAGAACTCCAAAAGACAGGGAGCAGTTGAACTGTTTTTCATAACTAAGTTTACCACCCTATTGGTAGTATCATAACACAACAGTTATGATTAACTCCATAGATACCCTGCACTGGAAGCTATCCACAGGGTTAACTGTTTTCACATCAAATTAGAAACCAAAATAGTATTAGGGGAAAAAAAAAAAAATCTGTAGTAGGTAATATTTAAAAGTTTTAGTCCAGGACAAATTCTGGTCTTAGCTGTACCAACATCAGTCCAGCATAACTCCAGTGTAGATATGCTGATTCAGACATACTCAGCTGTAATCAAAATATTTCCCTGAATTTTACTCACAGATTTCGTATCTCAAACCTATGGAACTTCCTCCCTACTTCTGCAGACTAAAGAAACCATCACCCAATACAGAAGGAGGCAGGCAACAACACAATTCAGCTATAATTTATATTAATTAGTAGAAGGGAGTTAATAGAGGGTCTCTTCCCCCCATAAACACAGCAACGTGTCCACTCTGCACTCAGCACCCTAGAGATACTCCCACGTCAGACCACGCACCCACAATAGATCCATTTCCAGATATAAGTTTTAGAGAAGACGCAGGGAGAGCAGAAAGCATCTGGGGTATTGTAAACAAAGCAAGTTACTACCACTAGCTCAGGGGTTAGTAAATTGGAAATCTGTGTTCAAGCTTTGCTGTTAGTGTCAGGCAGCAGGCTCTCTTTCAAACTGTGCAGGCAGAAGACAGGTGCTATGTTGGAAGGCAGCATGTTCCCCCATCAACCTAAGAGGAAAGGCTAGTAAGCAAGATAAAATACCAAACCTTCACTTGGATTACTTTTTCTTTTCTGCAAGACAATAAATACCCCCACATCTTTTAAGTGTTAAGGGGTTTGAAGTTGTAAGAGTAATTCTTAGCCTTTCCCTTGCACTTTGTGTATCATTATACATACACTGTAAACTGAATTTCATCAAGTATCGTGCTCACTATGGTGTACCTTGGCTACAGCTCACGTATTACACATAGCCAAATGGATAGTTACTGGTTTCATGAAGTGCCCCCAACACAAAAGAATTTTTGATTTCTGGTTCAGTTTAATTGAAGGTCATGCTCAGGTTCCAAAGGAAATTAGACTGGGCAGGATTTGCCCTGGGGTTCGATAATGCTGGTCAATCTCCCCATTTGTTTAGCTACAACTCTTTTGCCTTCTCCTTCCTGGAAGGATTCCTGATGTCTTTCCCCAAATAACTCAACTGTTTGTTTAGCTGAGAAACTCTCCTAGTAGCATAGAACAGTTTTTCTTCAGCTGGTGGGTGACATCATCTTAATGCCTTTCACATGAGAAAAGAAGCACAAACCACATCACTAACGCATGTAACACATCCAGGTCATCTGCCTTGCTGGGAAATGGAAGGGGTCCCACATGTTAATCCTCGTGTCACATTAAGGCCCTTAATACTTCCACTACACTTAAGAAAGAACCTATTTACCCACTTTGGCTAGATGGTTCATTCCCACAAAAGTCTGACTCAGTGACCTGCCTCCCAACATGGCTACCGTGTCCAGTTAAGTAGAAGCCTTGTCATGAGGTGGGAGATAGAGAAGAAGGCAATGTTGTACCTGAGCCTATTGTATGTCCAACGGAGTCAAAGGAAAGAACCACTGAATCTGTAACACAAGAGTACAAGTTCATTTTCCCCTTTTTCTTAGCACCATTTCTTGCTGTAACATTTTCTTGTTATTTTGCTTAAATAACTCCTTACACTCCCTTCCACCAGGAAGCAGAACAACTTCTTCACCAGCCAGACAAAACAACAAGCATCCAGCAAAGGCAGAACACTGGAGTATGCAACAAATCACAATGTCATTACCCAATGAAGTAGCTACAATTTATTGAAAATAATTTCCCTTTATGCCTAATAAGCTTGGTTGACCTTGCCAAAACTGAATCATAATATGCTTTTGACTGCTAGACTGGAGAGCTTTTTCTTATCAAATGTATTATCAATATTTTGTCCCCACTTAGGGGACTCGCCTGTTATGATCAGCTCTTCCCTGACACTGTTTGCTAAGCCAAATATTTTGTGCTCCTTGCAGTTCTCACTATGTTTTCCACATCTTTACTCACACTAGTGGCTCCCCAGCTGAATGCATTTCAATTTATCAATACCCTTCACCTTTCTACTTTATGCAACACATGTGCCAAGTATCAAAAAAATATAACCTCTCTACTTGATATCCTTTTATTTTGCCATCTGGGGATCACAATAGCATTTAACCATGATCACAATGACAACTCTTGCTCACCAGTTAATGCCTGATACTTTTAGTCACTGTTTCATATGATGTGGCACATTTTCCTTCAATTGTGGTTTACAGTTCATAGTTTTTATAAATGCAACTTGACATTTGGCCACATAGAAACCCTTACTGCCTGCTTGCACTTAGCTCACCCCATGATCCAGTCCCCTTTATTAGTCATTCATTTTCCTCATATACCACTCTCCCAGCCTAGAACCTGTTTGCAGAATTTATCAGTAATAATTTGATATTCCGTTCCAAGTACAATATGGTACCATGCTCAACGGCGGGGGTTTTTTCCAGCTGTATTCTTACTTGAGACAAACCAACACTTATTTTGTTAGCAAGCCTCCTGGTTTGCCATCCATTTTGATGCCAATCCCAACTGAAGGAGAAAGTCTACTGAATTCTACTCCACTACCAGTGGAGCAGAATTGGGTCCAGAACTTAAAGACAACTTGTCAATGGGTAAAACACAGCAGAGAACAAACCACCATGATAGGATTAATAATTTTACGGAATTAGAAGCTTTAAACTGACACAGCAATAGCAGCACTGCCTTTCATCTTCAGCTAAATGAATAGATTGAATCCCTTAAAGTTTCTCTTTGTAACTTAGGCCTCAAATGTGATCAACTGATCACACATCCTTTGCAGCACCACAGCAGCTGCCCCGGTGCAAGCCCTCAATGCAAGGCAAAAGGCCCAAGCACAATCAGATTGAGTGTGCTGAAAAGATGTTAAGCTCCCACTGCATCGCCTTACATTTGGGCAGGCTACAATCACAGATATTGACAGTTACCACATTTCAGCTGACAATAACTTGACACAGGACTGAGCCCATGGCTTTTCTATACTGTACATCATCCTCATGCTTATTTTCCAATTCTTACAAATTCAATAAGAAAGTGCTAATTTTCAGAATAAACATAGTAAAACTGTTCATTTATCTGGATTTAAAACAATTTTAAAAAAGCAGGTCTGTGCTGTCCCAGATCCAACACTATGGTAGTAACATTAAAAAAAAAAATAAAGATAGTTATTACTAGTCTCAAAACTTATTCCAATAAAAATAAAAATCCATCTGGACTTAACAACTGTATTTCCTCTTTTGGGAATAAAATTCAGACATCTTTATATTATTCTAAATAGCAAGGGGTTTAATTCATTTTAACTGCGTTAAATTCATCTGCCATCAATTAATTCTGAAGTATCTCTGTGGGGTTCTACTTTTAAAAAACTGTTGAGATTTTTATCAACATAAAGTATTGCTTTGTAGTTAATGCCAAATTTAAATGTTGTTCATTTTCCTGCAATAAATTTTGCATTCAAACACTGCACATGAAATATTAGGACTTGCCTAAGAATGGCTGAAAAGCATTGCAAGCACCAAATTAATACCATTATTGCAGCCCACAAAAATAGTATAATGTTTCATTCTCTTAACTGAGAACATTATCTTCTTCATATAAACAAAAAAAATTACAAGCAGAGTAAACATGTGAGCTCCCTTTTCCAATCCAGTCCTCCCTGTGACTATTAATTTCACAGTTTCAACATCAAATTCACTGTGAATAACCTGTAGTGCAGTCAATTCCTGCTCTGCCCTCACAAGTAATTTCACAAACCATGGATCTTTATTAAAACACTGTGTTTATTTCTGGCATTAACACTTCAAAAGGGAAGAAGCTATAAACTTGGAAAAGGCTGAGAAAATAATCATGTGTCACCTTTCTTCCACCCAGACAGCTATTCGCATTCAGCCAAATTCAGAGCTACAGGTTATTTTTGTCAGAAGTTGATGGAGATAAGCATTTCTTTGAGGCAAGCCAGACTTATTTGCAAATACACCGAGTCCTGCTTCCACAAACATAAGAAGAAAAGTTTCTTTGCTTCTGGCTTCAAGTCTCTTCCAGTCATCTCTCAGTTCAAACTCCTCCTGGCTTTCTAGACTTTTTTTTGCAGAGACAAAGTGGCTGCTCAGTCTGTGCCCAGTGCCTCCCCCCAAGCCCCTGAGTTCCCTCTATCTTTCAAAGGCAATCTTCAAAGGCTCTACCTTTCAAAACTTAATAAGACACAATGTAAAACATACCCACTTACATGCGCCCTTGCTTTAGGTGCCAAGAAGTGGTTTATGTCTGAAGGAGCAATCCCTAACCTTTCAGCTACCTACTTCCATAAAGCAGCTTAAATGTTTTTTCTCCTGCCTTCTTAACTGAAGAGCAGCTTTTATGCCCAAATCATGAAATCTGACACCCAATAACTTGCCAATATGCACAGCTTAAGGCTGCACACACCACAATGCCAGCCTTTTACATCTGTTTTCATGTTAGCTACAATCATTTTTTCAGTGGCTACAGCAGTTTAAAAAAGAAAAGAAAAAAAAAAAGATACAGCAAAATCCAAATGCAATTCCAGATCTGATCCAATCCATTGGAAGAAGCAAAGACAGCAGAAACACTCACTTATTTAGAAGGTACTTAGTGCTAGGAATAGCAATGGCTGAGACCTCATCAGCCAGACTACAAAGTTGCTTTGGGTCACTTTGTGTCAACTTTGGGTCAAAGTTGCATCGGGACCTCTGCTCTGGGACACTTTCCCCTCCTACCCACCATCCAGCTAGAGGATCAAAAATTGGACCAACACATGAATCTGCTCCATCATCCCCCAAAAAACAGTGCTGTGCAAGGCTACCTGAATGTGCTCCATCACAGTCGTTTTGGAGCATGGAGGAGTGCTGTATGAGACCCCTCTTCCAGGACAGCTCACTGCTATGGAACAAACACAAGGATCCCGTTTGGTTCAGGAACCAGGAGCTCCAAGACAGACTGTGCAGAGAGACTCAATGCTGCTCTGGGAACAAATTTAAACTCTGTTCCAACAATGCTCCATACTGGACGGAGAGCTGAAGTTGCCTTTGAAGGAACACACCTGGATTTGCACAGTTCTGTCCTGAAGTGGAAAAAGCCTGCAAATCTGAGGTGGCTACATTTGTTGCTGCACTTACACCACAGTCCAGATAAGCCACCCAGGTATGAGGATTGATTGTATTTCAAGGCATAGGGATGCACTTCAAGTGTCACTCACCCCTTATCTCTTCACGTGCACACACCCCTTTCCACTCCAGTGTCCCTCATCTTAGGTCTCCTGCAAAATCCTTCCTCCTCTTTCTTTAGTTAACCGTGAGCTTTCTCAGGGCCTGGATAACTCTGCACCACACTCCCTTGTCCCCAACACAGGCAAATTAAATTACTCATCTCGCTGCATATATTGTGCACCTCGGGTCTAGGCATTTCTGGACACCAGATAACTATTTAACTGCTACTCCTTACAGATTGCCCTATCTTTTCCACTACTCTAGTCTCTGAACAGAAAAATAAATTAAGATTTGCATCTTCATAAAGGCGCGATGATCCTGACAAACAAACTGCAGATTTGTAGGAGACAAAGAGAAACAAGGCCATGTTAGAAAACATCTTAAGTTTCATACTCCAAGAGAGAGATACAGACACCATAGGATAAACATTTAATATCACGCATGGGTACTGCACTCGAGAGATGTGTGGAAACAGCTCTTAAAGCCCAGTTGTGTCAAGTTCCTGAAATCATGTAAGAGCAAATACATGGACCAACTTCCAATGCAAATACTATCCTTGCTTTGATTTCATCATTGATGAAAATGTAGTATACAAACTGAAAACAAGCAGTGGCAACACAGAATGAGAATAGCAAATATAATCCACATTTAATCAAGAACTGTATATAACCTGTATGTTTACCTAAGTGCTGTTTCAGAATTTCAATTAAGGCTTTTACAGTAAGTCCCTCTGGGAAGCCAGTAACTTTTTTTGCGTTTTACAGATTCTCCCTGCAAGGATTTGCAGACATTTTTCTCATCCTATTGGAAACCAAAGAAGCTGAACCAATAACTTCTCTTATCCTTTTTCTCTCTCTCTTTAAAAAACAAAAAACAAAAAAAACCCAACGAAAACCAGACTTTAGCAATAAACCAACTTCCCCAGGAAAAAAAAAATCAGTAAAAAAAAAAATGATTGCGTGCTGCTTTGGAAGTGGTCCTGAGAAACCACAAACCATCAGTCCCACAGGAGTTATAAGAGTTTAATAATAAAGGCTTAACACAGCCTCGATACCACATACCATTACAGTAACATGCTCCACAGACCAAGCCAAACAGGGAATACAATAATACATCGTAACATAAGGCTGTAATTTGGCACATCCTCATACGGAGAGTCAGGCTCTGAGGTCTGCATTGCTTTCTTGTATGCAGGATCACTGTTAGGTTTCTCATTCCATACCCCTGCTCTCCAGATACTCTGATGGACTCCTACAGAACTGCAACCTATA